ACACACACACACACACACACACACACACATTCGTGATCCAAATTCTACACCACGTAGGAATAGTTACCTGAAACTTGCTCAAATGTGTGAGAAGCCTCTTCATCATGGAAAAATTGTGGACTGTGAACTTGGCTTTGATCATTTTTACCACCTGCTCTTCTGTTTCTTTTACATTGTCTTCCCCATGCGTTAACGTTGCTATTGACCCCAGATCCAAGTCACGAACAAGCTGTGATTCGTCAAGGTAATCCTCTTCTATTTCTCCATACTGAGACAAAATAGACGAAATATGAGACATTTTCGAGGGTTCCGGGACGGATGGTTCATGCCGTGGAGGTGGGGAGGAGTCCGGGGAAGAATCCGATGACGTATCAAAAACTGTTGACGTCTGCAACAAATCTGACATGTAAGTTAGGGAGCTCGTATCTGAACATGGCCCATGAGAGTTGTGCGGTGCAATGCTGCTGGTCGACTGAAGCAAGGCTGTATAGTTTATGTCGCTTCCTTCTGATACGACTTTAAAGTTTTCAGATCCGCTTCCCTGTTGTCTATAAGGCGCAAACCCAAGGTTTGCCAATTCGTCAGTGTTATGATCATGGTTCGGTAGTTTGGAAGATCTTTTCGACCCAAGTCGTTGCTCATCTCGATAGCCATTTTGAGAGTTTCCACAAGCATGGGCTCTGTCGAATGGGTCTTTTTCCATTCCATTGTACATTTCCAGAATGCGGCTGACACTGTGCAAAGAGAGAATGTCGCTGTCGCCGTACTTTGCCCCAGCTAGTTCTCCCAGTAGCTGTAATTGTTGTTCTCGTTTGAGTCGTTCTTCGTCCTCCTGTTGCTCAATTAGAAGCTGTTTCTCGTGCTCCTGTTTGGCTAGTAGAGCTTCTTGGATGTTTTTCGATCGGGTCTCACAGGTGTAACGACCGATTTTCACCGCTGAGGAAGAGAAGGGTAAAACTGTTGGGGGTTTCTCTGTGACATAAACTATGTTACAAATAATGGTGTTGGAAAGAAAAAAAGAGCAGCGCACACGTCCATATTCTTGATGTGGGCAATCATAAAAGAAATGGGGAGTGTAGGCAGAAAGGACAAGTCCTACTCTACCCAGATTTGAACCATCAACGTGCACATTACAGGTTAGATTTTAGTTGGTAATGTACTGTGCCATTGGTCTCAGCATGCAGTCTCTTTATTCTCTTCTTTCCTGTATGAAGAGGCAGAACATTGACCGCATCGATGCTCAGAGATAGGCAACATTTACAAAAACAATAGCAGCAGTAAAAATCAACCAAACCAACGGTAATGACATCACTACCACGGCCATCGACGACAACAATAACTAGAAGAAGAAGAAGAAGAAGAAGAAGAAGAAGAAGAAGAAGAAGAAGAAGAAG